GGCGGGTCGTGTTCAACATGTGGCTCCCGCTTGAGCGCCGCGCACATTCGTTCTAAAGTTCGCACGAGCTTCACGGATTGAGTGTGGCTCATCTTCAAATGTGGCTCTGGCCTCAGCGCCGCGCACGTTGATCAAACAACTTGCAAGAAGCTCGCACCTTGAAAGCGACTCGTTTTCAAAATGTGGCGCTCGCAGCAGCGCCGTGCGGATTCGGTGCTTCGGAACGATTCACGATCGTCAATTCGGAACAGGTGTGTTAATTCGCTGTGCGAAGTCCAAGGAACGTTGGTTTGGTATGATTTAGGACCGTCTAGACGCAACAGTCAAGTTGACTCGTCACGATGAGTCCTGATAAGGGTGTTGGCACGCTTCAGGATTTTCACACTGCTGTCCCCCAGCGGGGCGCTTCCGTCAGTGGACATGAACCCTTGTAGAGGCCTGTGAACAATGAGCTTGGTGGGAAGGAGCATTCCAACCTCGTTGATGATACGTGGGTTTGAACTGATCCTCCCCGTCATCCTTCTCCTCCTTCCATTTCCTTATAAATGACTCCTCCCTGTCCCACCCCGAAGCCGTCCGAAAAGGGCGGGCTGGGCGTTTCGCTTGAGAATTCCTCGCCATCTACGGCCCGGAAGAAAACAATTTCACACGTAAAGGCGGGTGGTTTTCAGAATGTAGTTCTCGCTTTACCGCCGTGCACAGTCTTAAACAGTTGCAAATACTTCACGGTGTGAGGAAACGTCGTTTTCAAAATGTGGCTCTCGCCTTAGCGCCGCGCACATTCGTCAGACAAATTGTAAGGGCTTCACGGCTAGAGGGCGGTTCCTGTTCAAACTGTGGATATCGCCTTTGCGCCGTGTGTATTCGTGTTAAACATTTGCGCGAGGCTCACGAATTGAGGACAGGTCGTTTTCAAAATATGGTTCGCGCCCTAGCGCCGCGCACATTCGTCAAACAAGTTGTAAGAGTTTCACGGATTGAGGGCTGCTCTGTTTCAACATGTGGCACTCTCCTTAGCACTACGCACAGTAGTTTTTAACAATGTTCAAGAGACTCGCGGATTCTCATCGCGAAAGTACCAAACACGGTGTTTTGCAACGATTCAGCGTTGTCTGGATGCAACAGCTACGTTGACTCGCTATGTTGAAGTCCCAGGAATGTGTCCCGCACGATTCAGAATCGTCAAAACGCAACAATCAACTGAACTCCTGGCGCTGAGGTCCGGAGAACGGTGTCTAGGCACGCTTCAGGATTTTCACACGGTTGTCCCCCCACGGGGTAATTCCCTCAGTGGACATGAACCCTTGTAGAGCCTTTGAAAAGGGAGCTTACACCGTTGATGACTCTTGGGTTTACACTGGTCCTCTTCCTCTTCCTCCTCCTCCTCCTCCTCATCCTCCTCCTCCTCCTCCTCCTCCTCCCCGTACCCCCTTCCCCACTTTGCCCCCTGCCCACGCTCTTGCTCGGGGGGGGGGGGGGGGCACACACCAGGGCCGCCCGCGCGCCCCAGCCCCTCCCCTCCCCCCGAAGACCTGCGCCACAAAGAGAGAGGGCACGGGCACCGCTGGCCCTCACGAGGAGGACGCGGCGCGGTCGCGTCACTGGCCGCACGGTTCGGGCCCACCCCAGGGCCGCCCGCGCGCCCCTCCCCCCCGGTGACCTGCGCCACAAAGAGAAAGGGCACGGGTACCGCTGGCACTCACGAGGAGGGCGCGGCGCAGTCGCGTCACCCCTCTGGCCGTGTGGTTTGGGCCGAGGGTGGCCGCGCGGCCGCGCGGCGCGCTCGGGACAGCCGCCCTCCGCCTTCGCCTCCTCCTACTTCCACGTCCTCGCCCGCCTGCTCCGCCCCATCCTTATCGTCGTCCCCTTCTTTTTCCCGCTCCTCCTCGAGCTGCTCCTCCTCGAGCTGCTCCTCCCCCTCCTTCCCCCGCTTCTCCTCGGTCTCCTCCTCCTCCCCCTGTTCCACGTGTTCCCTCCATCCTGCTCCCTTCTTCATCGTCGTCATCCTCCTCATCATCAGCAGTATCAGTATCAGCCTGAGTAATCGTCATCATCATCATCATCATCATCATCATCATCATCATCAGCAGCAGCAGCATCATCAGCAACAACATCATAATCATCATCATCAGCATCGTCAGCATCAGCAGCATCAGCATCATCACCATCGATTCCACGAACCACCAGCACCAACACCACCATCATGATCATCCTCAGCATCACCATCATCATCATTAGCGTCGTTTTCGTCGTCATCATCACCATCGGCATCATCATCCACATATGTATCAACATCAACATCAACATCAACATCAGCATCAACAGTAACATCAACATCAGCATCATCATCTTCAACAGTATCATCATGATCAATATAGATATGAACATCGTCAACAACTTCATCGTCATCATCGTCGTCGGCATAGTCATCAAAACCCGTGTCATCCTCATCAGCAGATCCTCCTCATCCTCAACATCCTCGTCATCAACGTCGAGTGACATCCACCACAACCATCCACCACAAGCATCCATCATCAGCCACCATGCCGTATCACCATCTTCAGCATCATCGCAAAGAGCAAAGGCACCAGCATAACCATACCCGTCATCAGCATCAGCACGAGCATCATCGTACTCATCATCGTTATCAGTCACAACATCATGATAAACAGAAGCATCACCATCAATACAATAATGATCATCATTGCCATCGCCGTCAATACAATCGCACCATCGCCATCATCAATCCCATCAACATCATCAACATCATCACCACTATCTGCACACTGACCATCACCATCATCATCAACAGCATCATAATCATCATCAGCAGCAGCATCGTCATCGTCATCATCATCATCATCATAATCAGCATCATCATCTTCACCACCATCACCGTCATCATCGTCGTCAGCATTACCATCATCATCACCACCCTCAGCATCAGCATCATTATCACCATTCTCATCAGCATCATCATCACCATTATCATTACCACCATCATTATGATGATCATCAGCATCAACATCATCAATATCATCATGATCGTGATTGTGATCATGATCCTAATCATGACATGATAATCGTCATCATCATCATAATCATCATCATCATCCCGATCTCCTCCTCCTCCCCTGGCTCCACGCCTTCACACCATACCCCCCCCCCTTAGACAGAGGCCCCCCTCATCTTCCTCATCTTCTCTTTCTACACATGTTTCTCGCTTTCCTTCTCCTCCTCCTCCCGCTCGTTCCGCGTCAATCGCATGGCTCTTCTGCCTATTCAATGATTTCGTCTCTCCCTCTTCTCTCTGCCGCGCGCTCCCTCGAGGATCCTCCGCCTCGCAATCTTCCCCAGCGTCCTCCGCTTCCCATGGCTGCACCGTCTTGCCACCGCTCGGACGTCCATTCCCTGTGCGTTGATTGACATGCTCTCTTTGCCCCGAGGTGATCCCTCATGCTCCGAATGGTCCAGATTTCGGGCGCTGGCCTGGCAAGGGAAACACGCACATGTCGGAACGATGCCCGGCCGTCGCCTCCAACAATCACAACTGCTCCTCCCCGCGGGCACACGCTATAACACACAGAGCGGGTCCGTGGAACTGCCGGGCGGGCGCCAGATCCACGGATCAAAACCAATGTCACCTGCTTCGGCCACGCAGCGTGCCGATCCTGCACGCACACTGGAACCGTCGCTGGTCCATTCGCATGAATCAGATTGGCACGCCAAGATAGGTACGGAAACACACGGAAACGATGCCACGATGCCCGAAACAAGTGTTCTCCGACTCCGACGGCGACCGCTGTTGGGCAGTCGACTTGATGTGTTTCAAAATGGATGGCAACGTCCGCGGCGGCGAGACCGACAGGGACTCGTGTTCAAATCAGGCAGAGACTGCAGTCGAGCTTCGTTGCAATGTTTTCTGTACCCCTTCCGGTCCTCCCGATCCACGCTTGCGTTTCGATTGCTGCTGTCCGTGGGCCCCGGAAACGTCTGGGCCGAGTTCTGCCGCCTTCCGAAAAAATACCAGACCGAAGAAACCCGCACACTTATTTCAATTTTCGCAAGCTCATGCTTCATGTGCGCAACATCATGATTGTTGGACTTTCGCTGGAACTGGTTCGCAGATTGCCATCCAACGCAGCAGTGCGTGAACCTCCCCAATCCTCAACATCCCATTTCCTCCAGCGTTGCAAGATTCGAAGTCGCGCAAGACATTGCAAAATCCCGGTTAGCCGAGGGTCAGCTGTGGAATATGTTGCACACCGCTCACCAATGCCCAAATAGTTTCGGCAATCAAATCGCCTGCCCCACAACAGAGTGCGGCGCTGCGGTGGACAAACTAGATCGATTCAAACGGTTTTGGGGTAAACGACAAGATACCCATACCGCTAATCCAGGGACTTCGCCCCTGGTGCTTTCTGTCCAGAACTTCGACGCGAATGAAGCCGTGGTCGAAACCTCTTTCCAACCTGAGCTTTTCGTGGTGGCACTAAAACTGCTCAAGCAGAAAATTAAAACAGGGCTAGGATCGGGATAAATCGCTCCAGAGCGTTCCGGAACGCTCTCAGAGCGTTCCGGAACGCTCTGGAGCGGCCGCGGCGCCCAATACCTCCTCCCAACCCGCCGATTCTCAGAGATTTCGAATTATCCCGATCCGATTTTGTCCCGATCTTCGCGTCGTTTTAGAAAATCATGGAGGCCCGCGCAAATTTCCTGGGCTCCTGCGAGAACTTCTGCTCGTGCAGTCCGGCCTTTGTTGCTCGCTGATGGGAGTGGGATGATGGGAGGAGGAGGGGGGAGGAAGAGGAGGAGGGCGGGGGGGGGGAGGAGGAGGAGGAGGAGGAGGAGGAGGAGGAGGAGGAGGAGGAGGAGGAGGAGGAGGAGGAGCCGTAGCCATTTTGGCTCAAGGGGCCTGCTCCTGGACTTCCCAACCTCGCTCAAGCGCGGCCAGCAGAGACGGCCATTTCGGCCACGGACCCAGTGCCGCGCAGCCGCCCATGGTGAACTGGAGCTCGCAGCGTGGCAACAGGCAGCAGCAGCGTGATGGCCGCCGCGGAGGTTGGACCTCGGACTGGAAAGGCTGGTCCAGAGACAAGAACGGAGAATGGAAAAAACAGGAGCAGAATAAGCAGTACGTTGTGAGTGGCACGTGTGGCAAGTGGAAGTGGATCAGTCGTGCGTACAAGGACCCGCTGTGCAAGTGCGGGGCCATGCTACTCTCCAGTATGCCAAAGAACGAGGAGCCCTCTGAGGATGACCCGCAGCTCATGCGTATCGTCCAGGGGCTGCAGGGGCTCCTTGGTGGCCCGCAGTTGGAGGTTTTCAAGAAGCAGTACGGTGCAGCCGCTGACAGAGGCGAAGACGACGACGAGGAGACGGGTGCCGACCGTGGGACCCACTTATCGCAGCAAGTCAGCCTCGCCAAGCGAGCAATGCAAAGGGCCACCGCCTATAAGGATGAATGCCAGAAGCGTGTCGACCAACTACGTGAAGAGTTGGAGCAAGCAGAAGAGTCCCTCGCCGTCGCCGTGGCTCAAGAAGCAGCAGCCAAGGAGACGGCCGCCACCAAGTCCAGGGAGTGGGCGGCCATGGTGCGCCCAGAGGAGGGTGCAGCGGAGGCAGTGCCCACGCCCCCAGTCGCTGGCGTCGCGGCCATGGGCGAGGCCGAGCAGCGCATCTTCGCCCAGTTCCTCGCCGCCAACCCCGCCATCGCAGGGCACCTCGGCATCCAGGTGCCAGGCGGGGCCGCGGGGGGCGCCCCCGCGCCAGCCGCCGCGGCCGAGGCCCCAGGCGCCCCAGCCCCAGGCGGCCTGGCGCCACCTGGGCCAGCGGCGGCAGGCGTGGCGCCCGCCCCAGGCGCAGTGGCGCGGGCAGCCCGCCAGGCAGCCATGGGAGCGGGCGCCGGCGGCGGCCCCAGCGGCGGGCGGGCCCAGGACGCCCGCGGCAGGCGCGGCGCCACATCGCAGCCCCCAGAGAGGCGCAGCACCAGCCCACGGCGAGAGACCACCATGCAGGTCGACGGCGGCGAAGCTGAAAGTTCTCCTCATGCTCGTGATAGCCACGCTTTTCGTGAGCAATAGTGAGGCAGCGATCGCCGACCACCCGTACATAGACTACGCGGCCAATTTTGATTACCCGTCCTTCTCTCAGGCTAAGGGGAATGCAAGTGGGAAGGGAGGGTCTCTAGCAATCTACGCCGCTAGTATCACTACATGGAACAATACCGCTAAGAAGTATCTCTTGGACTCTCGTTTCACAGCAGACGTTTGTATCCTGACAGAGACGCACCTCACATTAGACCGACATGGGGATGTTCGGAAAAAAGTTTCAGAAGAGTGGCTGGAAGACATATGTCTGTCCTGCCACACCCACCGCTCAGGGAAGCCAAGGCGGTATCCTTCTCGGGGCTCGATCTCACCTATCTTCTCACGCTCGGGTCATGGGAGCCAAGGGCCACATCAAGCCTCTTGCTATAGGGACCCGATGGACCAGTTGTATAATCAAACTCGATGGGGTGAATTTCTTGGTTGTCGCCGTATATCTGATTTCAGGGGTTGGGATGAACCAAGCAAATCGTGATATCGTCATGGAATTCACCACCCACATTCGCACGCAGAAGCTCCCCTACCTTATTGCGGGGGACTGGAATGTTGTTCCTGGAGACTTGGAGAAACCCATGAAGTGGCTTTCCTGGGTTCGCGGGGTCGTGGTTACCCCAGAGAATACGACGTGGACGTGCTCGAATGGGCACCGCATGCTGACCGGCGTCTTGCCCTCGACACCTCCCTCACGGCAGTCCTGGAGGGCCCGTGGAGACCGCACCTAGGCGTGGCAGGAGTTCTGGCACGCGCAGTAGCTCAGAAAGAGATTTTGGCATGCAGTCGGGCCTCCCCTCTCCCCAAAGAATATTTGGAGCTAAACACTCTTGGGAATATTATTACGAGAGGGCGGAGGAGGAGGAGGAGGAGAGCATGAACCTCATACCCACCTACCCTGTCTGTGCCCAGCATGTCAGCAAGCAGATTACCCGAGATTACGCCATCTTGAGTCGAGCCCTGGAGTTGCAGGAAACCCACAACAAGGTGGGGTCCCAGTCTGCACCGCAGCGAGGCCAGTGCGCGCAACTACTCAGGCGCCCCCTGCTGCCGCCAGCGCCCCAGACGGGGCTGGCCACCAGCGACGCCAACCGGTGGCAGGTGACCGTCGCACGCGTGCAGGATCGTGATCATTTCCTGCGACGCCCTGGGCCCCATGCACAAGTGTTTGCGCTGCAGGCTCTCTTGAACAGAATCATTCCTGATCTTAGATGGCCAGAGTATGTCGACCCCGAGATTAAACATGTCATTCTCGAGTATTTCACAGGCCAGTTCTCGGACCTAGAGGTTTCGAGGCCAATTTTCAGATTGGGTCTGGGCAGCTTCTTGGGGATTATCTTGAGCAGATACCTCAGCATTTCCAGAAGAAAGAAAACCACGCGTCTCGGAAGGCCTTCCAGGAGTGGATCGAGGAGGACTTAAAGAAAGGAGGTAAGATCTCACATGCCATCACCAAGGGCACCCCTGCCCCTCCTGAAGAACAAGACGTGGTACCTCTTAACGGGACCCTCACCGATGACCCCATCCTGATTATGCAGCATAAGCTCACCTATTGGGAGAAATACTGGAGCCCGAAGGGACCCCGCAAGTGCCCTGAAGATCCTCCCTGGCTCCAAGAGCTCCGAAGAGTTGCCCTACAGCTTGCTGCCCAGGTGCCCGACTGGACTGAAGCCGAAGTGTTTGAAGTTGTTCGGAGGTACAGCCCTAGCTCAGCAGGAGGTGCTGACTTGTGGCACCCGCGCGAGCTCGACGCCCTGCCGCCCGAGGGCAAGACTGCCTTCACCGACCTGATCAATCAGGTTCGGACGACCTTTAAGTATCCCGCGCAGGTGCTACTCAACATGGTTCGTCTCCTCCCTAAGAATATCGAGTCCGATCGGCCCATTACCCATACCAACAGTTTCTATCGGATTCTAGTCAAGTTGTACCGCCCAGGCCTCACCGCATGGGATTCAAAAAGAGCAGGATTTTGGGATGATGCGATCCGAGGCTCATCGTGCCTCCGAGCCGCCCTTTTGAGTGAAGTGACAGCGGAGCTGGTCACCAGTTTGCAGATACCGCTAGCAGAAGCATTGATTGATATCGAAGTTTTTCGACACCATTTGTACGGAGTACGTCTGCGGGGTGGCCATCAGTCTTGAGTATCCCACCACCCCGCTTATGCACGCCATGATTGTTCACCAAGCAGCCAGATTCTTGTCATCTGCCTCTTTAGGATGCTCGTCGCCCACGTGTCCGACCGGCAGTGTCCTGCAAGGCTGTACAGTCAACATATTTAGCCCGAGCATTTCTGTTTAACATCTTGGAAGACTTACACTATCAGTTTCCACGTGTTCGTTTTCGTACCTGGGTGGACGACCTGAGATTGAGAGTTTGGGTTTCGTCTAAGGAGATCCTGGAGGTGGTTCCAGAGGCCATGGCGTTCCTGGGTAAGAAGCTCGAGGCTCACGGTTGCAAGCTCTCTCCCAAATCCTGTGTTCTCGCGTCGGTGCCTGGGCTGAGCGTCAAAATCAACGAGCGTACCAAGGAGTTGGGGTGGGCCGTCAAGACCAGTGTCCAGGGGAAGGACCTCGGCCTGGACACTACCTTGGGGCTTCGGAGGCGCTTGAAGATTCGGAAAGAACGCTTCAAGAAGGGGCTCCAGAGGCTCAACGGGATCACCAACCTCACCAGGACCACCAAGAAGAGTCGGAGGCTGGTCAACACGGGGGCCCGTCCACAGCATTTCTGGGGCCAACAGGGGCAAGGTATTGCGCCGACAGTTCTCAAGCAAGTTCGGGGACGACTAGTCCGAGGGCTTGGATATGTTCCCAAGTATGGATGCACGACCGCAGGCTTTGCTTTGTTAGCACGGGGACAGCAGCAGGAGGATCATGTGCACTACCTCCCGATGCAAGCTGCCAAGACCTGGTTCGACATGGTCAACCAGAATCCAGAGTTGCACAAAGCGATAGGAAAGAGATGGTCTCCTACAGTGGCACGTCTGGCGAGTAAGACCCGATCCAGTAAGGTTACCTCCCTCTTCTCCGCGCTCATTGCCACCCTACATGACCTAGGAGTGTACATGGTGGGGCCCTGGGGATGGATCCTCCCTGACGATCAACGGTATAAACTCGTTCCTGGAGACCTCAGAGCCCAGACGGCCTTCCTGGACGACTTCAGTGCATATGTTTCTCGGGTTCTCTGGGAAAGGGCCTCACACTTCCATCTCGGAGGGGGAGCTGAGTTTGGGATCGACACGTTCCAATTTCAGAAGACCTATCGGACGCTTCGGAAGGATAACCAGCCCACCCGAGCCAAAGCCCTCCAAGCCCTCGGGAAGGCCTCGACCTGGACCAATGCCCGAGTTCACGAATGTAAACCAAGCCAGTCAGCGCGATGTGCCAGGTGTGGAGCACCAGTGGAGGACGACCTTCACCGCCTTTGGACATGCCCAGCGCACGTGCGCAGTACCGATGAAGCAGTCCTCGACTCCCAGCACCTCATCCAGAAGGCTATTGATGAGTTCCCCTCATATCCAGTGAAGTGGGGACGAGGACTGCAGCCAACTGATTTTACGACAGGACGCCTGGACCAACACCCACCCAGAGCCACCCTCGGAGCCACGGGGACCTTCATGATCCAAGGGGGCCCCATCAAGGGCAAGTTTTTGGTGGGGACCGACGCTGGAGGAGGAAGGTTTCCGAATGATCCGAGGCTGAGGAGAGTTGGCTGGGGGGTCGCAGTGAGAGATTCCGACCTCGAGACCATAGGAACTTTAAGAGGAGGCCTGCCAGGGAAACAGACGGTCAACCGCGGGGAGCTCTACGCGGTGGTCCAAGCCGTCCAGAATCTAGCAGGTGAGATCACCATAGTGACCGACTCAGCATACGTATATCGTGGAGTATTACGAGGGCCCCTCTAGCAGCATAAATGTTATGTAGACCTATGGGAGGAGTTTTGGAAGGCCCATCAGAACTTTAACAGGACCATGGAGTTCCACAAGACTAAGTCCCACCCCACGGAGAGTGGTTTCTGGGATTACAACATCCAGCCCTGGGCGTACCTGGCAAACCAGTTGGCAGATCAGGTAGCAACAGACGCAGCCGCACGAGTCCAGCTTCCTGATTGGGTGACCCGCCCCGTCTTAGAAGCCGATCGCGAGGCAGAGCTCATCCAGAATCGAATTGCCGCCGTCCAGGAGTTTTTCTGGGAGGTTTTCCCAGCCCCGCCTCCTGCTCCCAAGAAGCGGGGGCGGGTTAAGGCCCCGAAGAAGTGGGGCCATGCCCAACATGTTTTGGAGGACGTTCCCGAGGGCCTGCGGTGCAAGATATGTTTCAGGTATCAGATTCACGGGACCAAGGAGTCCTGGCTCGAGTCCCAGTGCACCCCGAATCATGCCCAGTGGATTCACACGTCGCACCTCCCACACCTCCACGTCTTCCGTGGGGTCGCATGTTGCAAGCAGGTGTGGGGGGGGGGTCGTCGACCCGAGCCTTTAAGTTGAAGGACCCCTGCCTCCCCCCCCACAAGCACGGGGAAAGAGGCGAGGTCACGGCTGCTTCGTGGACTGCTGCCGCAGGGACTGCAGCAGTGGCCGTGCTCCTTGGCCGCCAGATCGCAGGAGGACCGCGCGCGGGCCCTATAGGAGTGCCAGGCCACAGGACCTCACAAGGAGGTCCCGATCGGGCCCCGAGGAGTGCTCGGACTACCCCATTAGAAGCATGCAACATGCAACATGGAGGAGGAGGAGGAGGAGGAGGAGGAGGAGGAGGAGAAAGAGGCGGAGGAGGAGGAGGAGGAGGATGAGGAGGACCCTGGCACCAAGCCCAAAACAGGGGTGCGCCTTCAACGGGGGACTCTTATCCCGGAGTTGGTGCCAGCGGTTGGCTTCCTGCCACCTCAGAAGCTCGACGATCATCACCCTCACCGGGATCGGGATCATCCTTCCTCGGTGACGGACAGCTGCCGACATTGGTGGCGGTGCCAACCTTTGAGCAGGGACCGACCGTCCCGGCATTCCTATAGTCCTACCACGAATAGTTCTTAGAATCCACAAATGTTCTAAGAACAGAA